CTCTTTCCACCTCTGCTCCCAGGGTCTGTGGAGGCCTGGTTTGCCATGTGTGCTCTGTGGATTATAAGAAGCGAGAGCGCTGCTGCCTACCCTGTGCCCAGAAAGAAGAAGCCCAGGCTGTCTGAACAAGACACACCCAAGACTGGCCACCCAACCCTGCCCTCCCCCCACCCCTCTGGCCTGACCAGTACTACCTTCTAGAACTTAGTGACCTAAGGCAGACAGCACTTGTGTGGCCAGACTGTGGTGTGGAGAGTTGAAGGAGCTATGCTGGCAGTCGGGACACAGGTTCGAGCCCTTCGTCTACCACGGATGAGCTGGGTGACCTTGGCAAGGCCCTCAGTTCTCTGGGCCTTTTCTGTAATGTGAGGGAGTCAGGCACCATCCATGCAAAGGCCCTTCAGGCTCAGAAAGTCCTTGACCAAAAATATCACCCACTGGCCCCGACATTTCTCTCCCACACTCCCTCCTCGCCTAGCTCAGCTTTCATGACACTGCACAGTCTTGGGGTCCTCAGGCACTTCCTGTCTGGAGTTTGCTTCAGGAATCTATTTTTGTTGCATTTTGTTTTTAACAGCCTTCCCAAGGTACTATTAAGATATAATACACTTTGCATAAATTGCACAATTTGATGAGTTTTGACTTTAATTTGAATCCCTGATACCATCGCCATATTCAAAATCCTGAACACACCCATCAGCCTCAAAGTTTCCTCATGCCCTTGATAATTTCTTCCTCCCACTTCCACCTCCCCATCCCCCGGCAACCACTTTACTGCTTTCTATCACTAGAGACAAATTGCATTTTCTAGAATTTTATATATGCACTCTGAATTGTCTGCCTTCTTCACTCAGCATAATAATTTTGAGATTCATCCATGTTGTTGTCTATATCCATAGTTCCTATTTACTGTTGAGTAGTATTCCAGTGCACGGATATACCACAATTTATTCATACATTCACCTGTTGCCAGACATTGGGGTTGTTTCTACTTAGAAGCTATTACAAACAAGTTTCCTGTAACCATCCGTGTGTGACCCTTTGTGTAGATATATGCCTGTATTCCTCTTGGGTTAATAGCTAAGAACGAAATGGCCAGGTTGTATGGTAGGTGTATATTTAAGAAACTGCTGAGTTACTTCCCAGAGAGGTTGTATATTGCACCCTCCCACCAGCAGCATGTGGGAGACCCAGTTGCTCCCCCGGGCATCTGGTTTGGTGGGCGGGAGAGGTGGCACAGACATAGGACTTGGGCTTCTCTGTCTTTTCCTCCCAATCACTATGAAGAATTGATCGGTTTCAAGTTCTGAGCACCTAGAGGGAGGAACTGAGTCTAGGTGACTCTCTGTGTAGTGTTCACTGAGCTAGACTTTAATAAAGACAGTTGATAAGAACTCGTGTAGCTCCATGGTACAAATTATATCCTCTGACTGCCCAAAAAGTATTATGCAATTTCTGTGTTATTTACTGGACACCCAATTGTGGTGTTTCTGAGAAAACTGTTTCTGAAGAAGTGTGGGCCCTACTCTATGACAAGGCAATGAGCTGTCCTACCTAGATTCCAGGGAAGACGCCGTGGCCTCAAACAGGCCTGCATACTATTCCTTTGCCCTCTGCCTCACACAAACTGCCAGAGCCTCTGCATGCAGTAGTTGGGCAATCCTGTGGCTCTGACTAGAGCCTGTGGACTGTCTCTTGGGGTCAGGGCCACCCAGGGTTGCATCCCATTACCATCGTGTGGAGCAAGAGTTTTGCAACAGCAGTTCCTGCCCTGGAGAGCTGATGAGAACTTCTCCTTAGCGAAGTCAGTGACAAGGTGGGTAGGGTGGGGGAGGGAAGAGCTGTGGCTCTCAGAGCAATCAGAGCAAAACATCGCCCCTACCCTGAAGGTCAGACTTGCTCAGATACTTCTATTAGGGCAGGGTTCTTATTACGATGGAAGACATCGTATTCTGGTAGGACCTCCAGCGTGGAGTTCAGACTTGCCTGATGAACCAACGGGAGAGAGAAGACCTAGCAGAAGCCTATGTTCAAAAAGGAAGTGAGATGCTCCTGGATGAGAAAACATCAGAAGGAAATCAGGGGCCAAGAATGGAGGAGCTTAACCTTCTCCCTCTGTTTGGGAGTGATGGAAAGGCAATGCTGGCGACTAGCCTCTAGCCCAACACCACTTTCCCCAAGAGTCCCCACCAAGTCCAATGGAGAGCACAGGAATTCTACAAAGACATTGGAAAAGCTCGTTAGACCTTGGGGACCTCCAGCAGAAGGTTCCACAAGGGTCAACATAGATCTCCCCAGAGTGTGGAACTGTGAGAGTGCCAGAGCTTCAGCAGTGACTCCAGGCCACATATCTAGCACAGTAGCCCCCAGAGAAGCATGTGGTGGACACCTCCAGTAGACTTCCTCAAATTCCTGGGGGATAAAGCCCTGCACAAGCACACGGATCTGAGCCTGTGAAATCTGGATTATAGCTATTAATGTGACTTTGTTGTGCTCACAGGCTGGGGTTGCCCTGGGAAATTTGAGCAACATAGTTATTTCTTTAATTAGATGTTACTCAGATACTCCAAGGTCCATCAGTTTCTCCACCACGTCAATGCATTCAGTGCTCAAGAAAATTGAATTGAACACCTAGGATATGCCGAACACTAATTGACTTGGGGATATAGAGATTATATATACACACAACACCTGCTTTCATGAACCTCACAGTTGGGCCGAGGAAGCAGCCAAACAGATGATTACAAAACCCCATAACTGAAGCCATGATAGAGTAAGCCTGGGGGTGCAGAGTACGGGGCAACAGTCCGTGGAGCTGACCTCTGAGCTAAATTTAAAAGGAAACGGGAGAGTTGGCCAGACCGAAAGGCTGGGGAAGAGCATGCCAGGGGAAAGGCAAATGCATGCCAGGCCCTGAGGAAGAATGAGAACTGTTTTGGGCGGAAGTGCGAGCGGTTCCCTGTGGCCGAAGGGGACGTGGTCTGAAATGAGACTGGAGAAGTACACAGGGGTCAGATGCAGGGGCACCAAGTGCACAAGTCAGGAGTTTGCCTCTGCCTGAGGATAATGGGGGTTCTTGAAGGCTTGTAAGAGGAAAAGAGTGTGATTAAATTCACACTTTAGGGAGCTCGTTCTGGTAGCGGAGTGGAGGATGAATAGAGCGGGGAGAGGTCTGAGGCAGAGAACAGTGGTAGTAGCAGCAGCGGCAGCAGCCACGGCCAACGGTACCAGGCACTGTTCTAAGTGCTTTGTACACACAGACTCATTTAATCCACATGACAATCCTGTGCAGTAGGTGTCCTCATTATCTCATTTTATGGATGATGAAACTGCGACCCGGTGAGATTAAATACTTGCCCAAGGTCAACAACCAGGCAGTGACATCGCTGGGGTCCTAACTCAGATAGTAGGAAGCTACTATCACAGTCGCTTAGTTGAGAGAGAATGAAGTGTTGCCTAACACTGTCAGTGAAGATGGTGAGGAGGAGAGAACCAAGAGAATGCTGAGGAGGAATGTCTGTCCAGAGAAAGAGGGAGGGAGCGTGAGGGGCGTGCCCGCTTCCGGCTTGGGCAGACAGTGGATAAGAGGGTGCTCAGGAGGAGAAGCACGTGTGTCAGGGAATTTCGCGAAACCAGTTTTCTACATGTTGAGTTTGCAGAATCTGTGGAACCTCAGGGGAGATAGCAGGAGGTAAGTGCCTATAAGAGTTTGAGCTTAGGAGAGAGCTCAGAAGAGAAGCCGAGAACAATACGTGTGAGAGACATTGGCGTATTGAGTGGTAGCTGAAGCCAAGGAAGGGAGTGAGCTGGCCTAGGGATAGCAGGTAGAGAAGAGGACCGAGGTAGAACCCCGAGAACATTCATAGCTGAGGAACGAATTGAGAAATAAAGCCACAAACAAGACCGAGAGAGGTTCAGGAGAAAGAAGGAGAGAATGGGATTAAATGATGCAGAGCTCAAATAAGCTAAGACCTTAACAGTAACCATTTCACCATAAAGTTAAAAAGCATGCAGCAGGCTAGGAGAAAAGTTATCATAATTGACAAATATGAGATAGTATGAATAGAGAAGGTAACGGGCCCTTTTATAAGCTGATGATGGGAGGGTAAACTGGGACAGTCTTTTGGAAGGGCCACGTAGTTGTGTTTATCAAGATTTAAACATGCACAGATACTAAAGCCACAGAAACACTCGTACAAGTTCCCAAAGACTTACATCTAAAGATGCTCATAGCAAGATCCTAAATATATATCTATAAGGTAATTATCAAATAAACCATGATACATACATACCAGGAACCGTCATGTCTTCACTGAAAAAAAGTGAGATGAATCTATATGTACTGATGTGGAATAAGTCCATGATGCATTGTTAAGGCGCAGAAAAATATTACTAGTTAACTATCTTTTTCATTAAGGAAAGAAGGGAGGAAAACATGTATATATGCATGGGGAAAAGTCTGTAAAGAAACAAATATGGGTGAACAGAGGAATGGAAAGGCATCTTTAAGTTTTACTTTAATTTATGTTTTTGAATCACCTATATTCTTTACAGTATGCATGCTTTATTTTTACGATATGGAAACAGTTTTGTTTAAGAAAAGGATTTATTGGATTTAGGAACCCAGATGTCCTTGGTAGCCCTGGCAGAAGCTGTTTCAGCAGAGCGGTGGGAAGGAAGCTAGTTGCAGTGGGTCAAACAGTGAACAAGAAGGCCAAGTTCTGGGGAGACATCTGTTTTTTCAAGAATTTTGCTTATAAAAAGGAGGGTACCGAGGAGCACTAGCTAAAGGGAACCTAGAATAGAAGAAAGGGAAAGACACGTTCAGGGACCGAAGGAAAAGGTGGTTGAAGGGCAAAGGGCAGGGAGGCAGGGTCCCGAAGGATAGAAGAGGCAGTGAGTCCCATAGCCAGGTGTAGGAATTCACCAGAAAGAGAAGGAGGGGGACTTCTCACTCTGACCATAGAAGAAGGGAAGAAAGTGCTCATGCAAGCTCAGGCAAGTCTGTTAGCTGGAAGCTGGGGTTGCCTGCATCTTACTTTGAAAGGAAGACAGAGATGGACTAAGCAAACTTCCACCTTCAGACTGGAAGTCTCCTCCAGAATCCATTAGACAAGGAGGCGTG